ATATATATATATATATATATATATATATATATATATATATATATATATATATATATATATATATATATATATTTCATTTGTTGTAAGGTTAACATCAGTAGGTGTACTTTATTGTGAAGTTTACTTTTATGTTGAAAGGCTTATTTCCTGTTTGAGGTCTTTCTGTAAATGTATACAGTCTGCAGGACTATTGCGCAGCACAGAGTTATCATATTTTTCACCGTGTATACCGTGGCTTGTTTTTCGGGGGGAAGAAAGTAAAGACATTTTTTTTCGTATGTCAAATTTCTTGGATAAAGAATTTTTTCAGTTAAAATTGATGGTTTTTTCAAGAGTCCTTTACTTGACAAGGAGCGCAACGAGAATGACAAAGATGTTGGATCTGTTGCCATACCATTATTTTTTTTATTCTCTAAAACCAAAGCAAAACAAACTTCTGATTTTTCAAAAATTAAGCCATTGTTTAATGTGTATTCCATATTTTAGCTATGTGCACCACAATATCATTTAAGGCTGGATGAAAAGACAATGAATCACTAAAACAATTTCCCTGGTACAGAACCATTGGCTTCAGTCCGTAGTAATCTAGTCTAGTGCAGTTTATAGTATTCTGTATAATTTCTCTGTATACCCGTTTTGAAATACATTTCCGTGTGGCAGATTTTTATTTATGTGATCATGTGAAAATGCGCTTGCTGAGCTGACTACTGTTGAAATCTAAATTTAAAACACACCAAGTCTGCAGTGAGAAAAAAACAACGCATGGTGTCAGTGCGATGTAAAAAGTGAAACAGACAAGCCGTTCTGCATTCGCTTGTGGTTCCACCTATTCATATTTTTTCCTCCGTTCGACTGTTGTTTCCTTCTCTTTGGATATGACTGCATGAAACGATCGGATTTGCGCAACGCATCGTGTCCCAGATTTGACTGGTGATCCGGATTTTATATGTTGAATTCTGTTGTCACGATTGGTTCATTGTGTGGATTACTGACATCTTGACCATGGGACAAAGAAATCGTTCGCCAGGAGGGCTGTATGGACATTTTTTCGGATGCTTCTGTGCAGTGCTTTTTTGGAGCTTAAGCTCAGCACAATTAAGATATTCAATCTCCGAGGAAGTAAAGGAAGGTACTGCGGTGGGGAATATTGCAAAGGATCTGGGGTTGGATAAAAGCACACTAAAGGAAAGAAAATATCGGATCGTTTCGAGTGATGTTGACCCGCCTTTTCAAGTAAATCAAAACGATGGAATCCTATATGTGAGCAGAAAGATTGACAGAGAGAATGTGTGCGCGCAAAGTAGTACGTGTTTATTGAACGTGAAAACGGTGTTGGAAAACCCGCTAGAAGTGCACTACGTCAGGATAGAAGTGCAGGATATAAATGACCACTCCCCCACCTTCCAGGAGAAAGAAATATCGTTGGAAATATCTGAATCTGTGTTTTCTGGAGCACGGTTTAAACTCAAAGCCGCAAGGGACCCAGATAGCGGTCCATTTTCTGTGCAACAATATAAGCTTGACCAGAATGAGCATTTTCGATTGGAAGTTAGGGACAGTGGTGAAGACGGGAAAATTCCAATTTTGATTGTGCAAAAATCTTTAGACAGAGAAACTGCGAAAAGACATTCCCTGGTACTGACAGCTGTGGATGGAGGCAAACCTCCAAAAACAGGCAGCATGAATATTCAAATAGATATTTTAGATGTAAACGATAATGTTCCATCTTTCTCTAGTGATGCTTATTCTGTTACGTTAAGGGAAAATGCCCTTCCTGGCACGAAGGTGATACAGGTGAATGCAACTGATTTGGATGATGGATCAAATGGAGAGGTCTTTTATTCGCTAGGCAAGAGTATGAATCAGCATATTTTAAACCTTTTTGATATTAACCCCAAGACGGGCGAAATAACTGTCAAAGGTTTAATAGATTATGAAGAGAGAGACAAATATGAATTAGAAATTGAAGCTTCAGACAAAGGTTTTGCTCCTCTTACATCTGAAAAAAGTGTCAATATAAAAATCATTGACGTTAATGATAATGCTCCTGAGATTGAAGTCACTTCATTTTCCAGCTCAATTCCTGAAGATTCCCGACCTGGAACTACAGTGGCCCTTATTAGTGTAAATGATAGGGACTCTGGTCTTAATGGGAAAGTGATGTGTTCGATGAGTGAAGACATTCCATTCTCTTTATCACCAACTATTCAAGACACCATCTACTCATTGATTACCAAATCCCCTCTGGACAGAGAAAAGCAGTCACATTATGATCTGACAATATTTGCAAAAGATACAGGACAGCCTTCCCTATCATCTGAAATAACAATTAGTATTTTTGTCTCAGATGTGAATGATAACAGCCCAGAGTTTGTTCTTAGTCCCTATAATTTTTATCTTATGGAAGCAAATGAACCTGGGACATCAGTATTTTCAGTTAAAGCTTTTGATCGTGATGACAATGAAAACTCAATCATTTCATACCAAATAGCTAGAGATGGAAGTGAGAATAACAAAATAAGCTCCTTTCTCAATATAAACTCTGAAACTGGAGAAATTGTAGCACTAAAAGCCTTTGACTTTGAAATCCTGAAAACTTTCCAGTTCCATGTTGTTGCCACTGATTCTGGG